GAGTGTGCCCTATTAAATTAATAAATGAAATGGCTCTAACAACAACTGTATCTGTGTTTGTGGATGTTATTTTGAGTGTGTTCGGATAAGAAGTATATTCTCATCCACCAATACTCATCCACACTCTCATGTATTCTCATTTGCAGGCATAAAAATGAAATTCAGGAACCATTTTGATTCAATTTCGATGATTTTTTAATTTAAATTGTTCAAATGAACACGATTCTGAAAGATAGATGCGAGAAAGCGTGTTCTCTCCTGACACACACTAATCTACATCCATACACATACCTCACACGCGCAATACATATTGAATTACCCTATAACTTATGATAAAATCTCCTTGAAACCTCGTTTTGATTTTGATTAAAATTCTTCGTAACTAAACACAAGACGATAGATCTTGTTCGTACATTATGAATATTACTCTATCAATAAGAAAAAAGTCATCGAGCTAGTCAATGTCTATCCAAAATATCTAACTATCTTTCACAAAACTCATTTTAGGTTCAATTGATAATCATACTTTATTTTAACGCTTAGATTACTTTCAAGACCGATTATATACTTCTGTATATATTAACCCAATTTTTAACTAGATCAAAATGTTTTTTTGGTTAAAACCTCATGCTCTATACAAACTGTTGTAACTTCTCTTAAAATAAAATAGCTTTTGATAATTTTTTTTTAATAATTTATTTTTTATATACCCTCTTATTAATCAAATCTTTAAAAGTTAATCATCAAAACTTATTTGTTCTGTAAAAAAAACTAATGAAATTATCAATTTTATTCATATTTGCACATGAGTAATAGCATTCTTCTTCTCAAATACAAAATAGAAATTGTAGTGGTCATATCGTTTCTCATGAAATACGCCAAGCTCATCTGGATCAATATGATCAACATATTGAAAACCTTACCTTAATCAATTAGGCGTTGTATCACTATCGTCGTGAAGTAGACTAGGATTATCGAAAAGAATAATTTGATTTAAAATAACAATTGCCGCAATGTTTGATATTTATTATTTATATATACAATCAAGAAAGGAAGTATAGAACGAATTAGAAACTGTTTCTATACAAAAAATAACTATTTTTGAGACAAAGTTCGTTGATATGCTTGATTGATCGCTTGTATTCATATGTCATGAAACTTGACTCATGTCACATGTGACAATAAATTTTATCATAATGAAAAACGATCACGATTGGATAATCTATAATAATTATTATTCTATTGAATACTGTCTGAAAGTCAAGTTCAGAGTGCAAATGTCGCATGATCGGATTAATAACGGCAAAGAAATTACTTCTTGTCAATGCTGAAGAATAAGTTCATATTTAGTCAAAATGAAAAATACAAAGAGCTCCAAAATTTTTCATATATCCTATTTTGTTTAGGAACACAACTTTCATGTCGTAATTAATGTTATATTATGAGATATGACTTTATTCCCAGATAATTTTTTGAACTATAAATGTGCCTATGAAATGATCAAATAAATGTAATAGCACAACAGCGATGTCTTTCTCAATTCAGATAAGCAATCGAGTTTCAAATCGATATTGAATGTGAAATACATCAAAATCATTTTTCAATAAATTTATTTATCGAACAAAATTACAGAAAAATAAAAATACACAAAATTTTTATCAAATATCTCCAATAATTAATTGCGCAAGTTATTATTACTTTAGTTGTTGTAATGGTTGACGTTTATATAAATAGATCAATGGTCCAATCAAAGGAATAAAGCAAAGATAAAAATAAAATTGAAATTGATTATTCTGAGGCATTCTTCTTCGTTCTAAATCATCTGCAATTAAACAAGGAAATAAAAATGAAACGACAAAAAAATCAATCGTCATTATATGAATAAATTGATGGGTCCAAAATTCATGAAGAAATACATGAAAATCACCAAGGCTTCCAGCAAAAAATATCAAGCCCACAGTAGAAATCATTAAAAGAATAGGAATTAATTTCGACTCAAAGATACGAATGAATAAATTTAATTTAAATTTTCTTGTATTATCATCACGACGTAAAGCAAAATATGGCAAAAGAATGAAACCACCCAATGCCATAGCTAAGAGTGAAGCTAAAGTTCCATTTAAACGTTGATTTTGACCATCAACTAATAATATTGACATATAAACAAGTGGCCAAATACCTAAATTATTATGAAAAGATTTCTTTTAAAAAATTAACTTCTCTTGACAAAAAATTGATAAGACATCGGTTTTTATTTTTTAATATTCAAATGAAAAACAAAATTTATTTGTTTCATAGGGTTTTTTTTAAACTTTTAAATTCTTTTCGATTAAATCAATATTATCGAAAGAGAATAATTTACAAAAAAACAACAACCTTCTTGTTTAAATCAATCAAAGAGAGAAGAAATGTTTGCATATCATTAGTCTTTGAAAATTTTCATACATGCTCGAAATTAAGATAGACAAACTCTATTATAGTTTTTTTAATCAAGAAAATTAATCAACTGAATCGCTTAAATTTTTTATCAGCTTAGTTTTACCTAAAAAATAGAATAAAGATATAACATATGGATCTATATCATTCCATGGTCCAAACATTAATTGTTTAATATACACAGTAGTAGATTTTGTTGTTTGGTTATGTTTTGGTGCTAATAATATGCTATATGTGAGAAATATAAACCAAATTATCCAAAATATCTTATTTGATATCATCTCAATGATTAATATTTTCTAAAATAAAATTTAAACAAAGATTTTCTTTTTCAGTATTCATTGAGAAGGTGTTCCACATTGAATATGTGATGATATTAAAAGTAGTGTTATCCCACTATCAAAAAGGTGAAATATCTAATCAGCTTTTATTTCCATAAAAAAATATTTCATTGCATCAATCATTAAAATTTTCCTGACTCAACTTTTAATATAATATATTTTATTTTTGAAACAAAATTAAAGTCATACAGATAAAAACAAGTAAATCAATAAAAAGATCAAATTCGATAATAAAGTCGATATTTCATATAACGTCTGTTCTTTGTGAATTTTTCTTTATTGCAAAGAACTTGAAAAAAAAAGCCCGAAAATTTTAAATTTTATAAACCCAAAAGAATTAATTTGATTGGTTATAGTTGCTTTCAATATCGAATAACCATTCACATTTTGCGATTTAGTTTTGATTTCGGTCAAAGCTTTTAGTATTTTATTCTTGCTCTTAAGTCATATCGACGGTTAATAAAAATTTCTTATGAAACTAATCTTTTTTTGTACATTCATAAGAGTGAAGAGATATAACGCCATCTTCAGAATATTGTCACACTCACACGGAAAATACATTAATAAAAAATTGATTCAAAATTCTTTAATGTATTTATATTGAGTCTTATAATAGATCGAATTAAATATCATTCCGAATTTTATTCTTAATTAAAAATTCATTTCAAAGAATGTGACATAAGTAGAGATTGATCTGTTAATGAAAAGTTTATTTATTGATAGAAAATGTCGTTAAATACACTTTATGATCCTTTATCGATGAATAAACAGAAACAAAAACAACTTGTAAATAAGAAAAAGAAAAGTCAAACTAACTCAATGAAGAAACAAATAAATAAAGATATTTTATGAATTAATGATAAATAATTATTTTCTTATATAACTTTTAATTTAATTAATTTTTTTAATGTCTTTTAACTTTAATGTAAACATTAAATAAATAGTAAAAACGAATGTTGATAATTACAAATAGCGTTCATCAAGACTCTCCTCACTTGATTCTAGACTTATGGAGTAGAGATATGCAGATAGGCACATCTAGATGTAAAAGTGCTTTAAGTAAAGTACCAGATAAATGCACCATATGACTTGACATATAACATGGAATCAGCTCACAAAACTGGCTTTATCATAATATAAAGCTGGGTTTCAATATTTACATTTGTCTAATTAAGTTCAGTTTATATATTACACATACAAAAAAATTTCACATAACAAAGGTTCTTTATTCACTCTCCCTTATTACTCAAGTTAGAACTTCTGTTTTTACACAATAAATACACTTTTAGATGATCTTTAAAATAACTATTTATATCGATAGGAAAATCTCTGAGAACTTTTTTTCCATATCTTAGCACTCTCTAGTATATATAATCCATTAGTTTATATTGACAATGATAGAGCATGAGAAAACAAGTGACACTAATATTTGACATGATATAAACATTAAGAGGAAAGAAATAACCGATAAATTGATTGCCCGTAAATAGTCACTTGATCCAAGTGAGAAATAGAATGGAATCGAATTGGGAACTACCCAGATGATACAATACGTTGAAGACTATATGTGATCTAATATAACCATCACATATCATACCCAACAACTCTTATAGAAATTTGATTATAGCAATAATTGTTGAAGTATGATTGAATATCAGAGATATGTAGAGATACTTTTGCGATACCTTAGAAAATCATACAAACTAAATTATGAGTTTAATACTTATTCGTTCAAAACTATTATATATTTGTTTACACAAAACAGAGAAAAAGCATGCGCATGCAAGAAAAAAAAACTGAATAGTGTATGTGAACTATGAAAAAATGATAAAGAACAAAGGTTTACACTATGAAATCTTAAAGTACTAAAATATTCTGATATCGAGCAAAACGCTTTTATAAAGAAAAAGATACTCAACATTGAATAAATTGAAATGTTTATTTTTGATGAATATGAAACGAAAAATGACTGATTATATATAAAGGAATCTTTTCATCATTGATAAATACGCGAAAACAAAAAGAAAAATAATAATAATGAATAATTTTCTTTTGTTTTTCTTTTACTTGAAAATTATTATTTGATGTTTGTAATAGTGAAAAATTTTGATTTATTTCATTTTGTGCTAATAATTTTACTAATTAATCAAGATAAATTCTAATAATATGTTTTATTGAATTTACACGATCAACTAATAATTTTAAATCATTTATTTGACATATTTAATCATTATAATCATAAATACGAATAAAACAATGAAGTTTTGTTCGATTTATATTTTGATTTATTTCATTATTATCAATTTTAGTTAATAAATATTGAAATTTATCTTTTATTGAATTATCATTAAATTTATTGGCTAAATCAATTGTTGATTTTAAAAGTATTTCAAAATCATCTTAAAAATAAATCTTTTTATAAATCACAAAAATTCTTGATATTGTCATCTGAATATTAATATCATAGATTCATCTATGATAATATACTAAAAGAAGCTTATTCAAATTTTTGTTTCATTATTAATTCTTTTAATAATATCCAACGTTGTTCTAATGTTTGAACTGTACGTGATAATGAATGAATATTTCGTTGAGAAATATCAGTTTCATTTAATAAATTATGGTCAAATGCAAGAAGATTACTAATTACTGTACTATGCTTTTCAATATCTGTTTCGATTGACTGAAATTGAAAAATAGGTATATTTTTTTCTTTTTAAAATTTTCTCATACAACAATTGATTATCGATGAATATGAAATTCATTCGTAGTTTGTGTCGTTAATGTTCGTTGCAAATTTGCTTCAATTGTATTCATCCATAAATCTGTTCTAATTATTTAAATTTTTTGTTTTTACTTGTTTGTAATTGTGTTTGATCAGTTGATTGTGATTGTAAAAGACGTTCTGGAATTAATAATTCATTAAACTTTCAAGACTTGATTGAATTGTTAAGCCATCTAATCGTTGGTTTATTTCATTGTAAAGAAAATTATTAACCATATCCTTCAACATTCCTTTTAGATCATGTTTCACAAAAATAAAGGATGATAAGCCCATATTCGAAAAGAGCACGAAATTTTGCTTATAACTCATTGGAAATACTTTCTAGCGAGTCAAAAGTGAACAAACATCTTGTTTAACAACTTTGTGATTATCCATTAAATCAATGAAAAAAATATATTTCATTTAAAAATTTACTTAAATTTTTCTATTAATTGATCAGTATCATCAGGATGTAGATCAGAAGAGTTACTTCTATTATAGCTTGTCAAACACGTTGTAATTCTGTTCGATGTTGTAGAAGTTCACGATTTTTATTCTAAATTAAATTTATTTATTATTGAATACTGTCGATAAAAATTTAATTTACTTGACATTATACAAGAAATTGATCAAAATCATCAGTTGATTGTTGTTGATGTGAACGAATTGATTTTATAATAGTACTTAATTCATCTAATGTTCGATCAAGTTCATTATATCGAAGGAGTAACTAAATATTAAAACAAATAAATTTTGTTTTCCTTCATAAAATAAAAATGAAATTTCTC